GTCTGTGAGTTCCAGGGTGTGTGTGAGTTCCGGTGTGTCTGTGAGTTCTGGTGTGTGTGTGTGAGTTCCAGTGTGTCTGTGAGTTCCAGGGTGTGCGTGAGTTCCGGTATGTCTGTGAGTTCTGGGGTGTGAGTTCCGGTGTGTGTGAGTTCCGGGGTGTGTGAGTTCCGGGGTGTGTGTGTGGACTGTTTCCCTCAGCCAGGCCACCTGTGGCAGTTCCCACCTCGTGCTTCGGCCCTTTGTGATCAAGTCCTCCTGGAGCTTGTCAGTGTCCCCTGATTTCATGCTTGGGTCTAAAGATCGCTTTTCGGGTCCCAGCCGGGTCTCACGCTCCAGCTTCCGGCTGCCGCTTCATGATGCCATCTGCAGTCGCCCCTCTCGAAGGGGCTGGGGGCTTGGATTTGGCGCCCGCCTGCCCACCGCTGCAGCAGGAGGGAAAACAGCTCTTCTCATGGGTGAAGGCTCCACCGCGGTGAGCAACGGCTCCTCTAGCCGCCCGCGAGTCTTCCCATGGCTTGGCCGGCCGGAGGCTGCTGCGGCTCCTCTCCTGGCCCTCCCGCCTGACCCTCCTTTCTCCCTTGGAAGCCAGGACCTGGGAGAGAGGGCTCCCTGGCCCCCACATACAAGGAGGCGGGGAATCAGGAACCTGCTCGGGCCTCACAGCGCAGCCCCAGAGCTGGGCCACAATTTCCTTCTCAGGATCCCGGGGCCCTCTCTGGGGCTTGATTTAGGAGCCCTCCTGCGCTCCTGAAACCATTGCCCACAGTTATGCCTACCATCTCACAAGCGCATGGTCCCATGAGAGTTCAGGACTTCCATTTTGGGGGCATTTTCTTCGTGTGTGTGGTTGGATATGTTTGTGTTTTCATTTTGTTTTGGTGCTGGGGATTGAACCCAGGGCCTTGCCTGCCTGCACTGTGCACCCACTCTACCACTGAACGACACCCCCAACTTGCTATGTTACTTTTCAATCATGCCATTCCCATCCTTCCTCCTGCTCTTTTCCGGAATCCAGCTCCCATTTTCCGTGAGTGGGAAAGAAAAGCAATTGCGTCCAAAATATAACCCACAAGCAGCAGTCCAAAGACTCTACACTTGCAGGACTTTTAGAAGCTCTGCCAGGAGCGTTTGATCTTTCTTTAAGCTTTTGGGAAGGAATGGACTGCCTCAGACCCTAACAGGCAATGCTTCTCAAACTTAAAAAGACATGAAAACCGCCTGGGATCTCATTAAGCTGCAGAATCTGATCCCGTACACCTGAGGGCGGCCTCAGAGTCTGGATTTCTAATGAGCTCTCAGGCTGCTGGTCCTGGACCGCATCTGAATATCGAGGAGCTATTCTGAGCAAGCCACCTGCAGCCAACGCCCCTCTTGAAAAATGACAGCTGGAGCCCATCCATGCCTCCCCTCCCCTCCAGCTTTCTGGGAGCTTAATTATTCCAGCTTGTAATTATTCTGAGTTTAATTATTCTGACTCTGGAGTCTAATTTGCAAACCACGCTAACGTTAGCAAACCACAGTGCTGTAGGGAGTGAGCAGTCATGGTTGGGTAAAAGCCTGTGTGAGCCAGGGAGCTGATATCAACTCTGATTCTACCTGACATAGTTAATAGATGTGCTCCTTTGAAGGGCTGTGCCGGGCATAATTGTTTGCTAAGCAACATTCCAATGCAATTGGCTGAAAAAAGAATAAAAATAATAGGAGGTATTTGAGGGTGAAAAAAGTAGCTTTCACACCAATCATCTAAAGTGTATCAAGTACATTGTCTAGGCACCTAAGAAGTAAAAGTGTGTAGTGATCAGTGTCTGACCTAACCTTTCAACTTTGCCTTGTTTTGCTTATGCCCGGTGGTTGTCATGGCGACGCTGATAACCAGCCCCAGGTCTCCTCTCCAGAATGCCAGAGTCATTTTCATCTCCCAGCCTGTCAGACTTATAGACTAAGAGGTGGTGAGTCTCAGGGACACAGTTTCTGTACACTAAGGTGCATCGCAGCCTCTGGGTCCTTCTCAGGCTGCAGAACTCAGCCCAAGGCTGGTCCAAGAGGGAGGAGCTTTGTGTGCGCTCCTCTGGCCAGACTTCAACTGTGCATCTCTGGGATGGGGACAAAGTGCACAGGCACCTGGAAGCACTTCCAGGCCACCCTGCAGCCCGACCACAGGAGATGGCGTTTCTGTTTCTCTTTTGGTACCAGGCAATATTTCAATTTACTGAAAAGAATAGCTAGTACAGCAGCTATGCTTTATCAAACACCAACGTTAGTTTTGCATGAAAGAAACAAATCTGAACGGGCAGTAGAGTCAATATTCCGGGCTTCCCCTCCCGTCCTCTTCCCTGTAGAGTTACTCCTACTTTGGCTGCTATTGGTCATTGTGTTACACGCTTCATGTGTTATGGGATGATACGTGTGTCATTGTTTCACATGTCTTTATATAAAGGGTGTCTGGCTGTATACTTCCCCTTGCAAACTTGATTTTGTTGCTCAACCTTATGTTTGGGAGATGTAGCCCTGTTGGATATGACTCTCGTTCATTTGTTTTATTGTGTGGTATGAATAAAAATAGTTTACTTATCCAGGCTCCTGTTCTTGGGCATTTAAGACACTTACAATTTTTACTCTTACAGATTAGGTTTCTGTGAACATAGTTGCCAATGTATTTTTGTGCACATGTCCCAAAGATGTTTTTACCTACAGTGGAAATGTTGGGACGCAGAACAGCCACATCTTAACTCTACTGGATGCTGCCCAGCTATGAGGAGAGGTCTCCTTGAGACTTACAATAGTCAGGCTTTTGATTTTCTGGACACCACAACCTCTCCAGCCTTAGAAAAGACTGATTTACTTCCTGTCTTTGTAACTCTATTCTCCACATTTCAGACAAGCGGATTCTTTTTCCAGTCTCCTCACCCATTCCTACAGCCTGATAATGTGACGCTTCATTAGTTTTTTTCATTAATGTTGGGAAATATTTCAATATGTGGTTGGCACCCATTTAAATTTGCATTTCCGTAATTACCAGGAAATCTGGCAATGTTTTCAAATGTCTATTTGCCATGTGGAATTCCTCTTCTATCAATTGCCAGTTTACATTCCCTCTTCCAGTTTTGGATAGAACCCCTTATCTTCTCCTTGATCATAGGAATCCGGTAAGTAATCATACATAATCCTTTTTTTATTATATTTGTTTGCAGACTGATAGGAAGACCATCCTCTGGACCTGCTTGGTGTTTGCTTTGCTTGTGTTTCTCCTGGACCTTTCTAATCAGCAGATATTGACCTGGCACATAGATGGGAAGAACCCCTTTCTCTCACTGGTCCCACGCCCTCCTCATTTCTCAGGGTGATAAATCAAGAGCCATTTGCCTGCATTCCAGAGGATTATAAAAGCCAGGGACTTCCTCTCCCTTCCTGAGTGGGCTTGTGTTTACTTTAGAGGACAAAGGCTCTCATTCCGCCTCCAGAGCGGGAAGGAGGCAGAGGCGCCCCAGCATCGGCCTGTGTGGTGACAGGATGTCCCTGTAGGATGCCCCTGGTCTCCTCCTGCTGCCCTTGGGAAACTGAGGCACAGAGAATTCGTGGTCAGACTGCTGCTATGTGAGCGAAGAGTCAGTCTGTCCCCTGACCCATAACCCTGGTGTTTCCAGGCAGGAAGAATAAACTAATACAGATATAAAACTTAACATGTATCTTCTTCTAGTCTGTAGTTTATGCTCTTTATTATAGTATAAAATACATACCTGAAATGTACCATTTTGGCCACTTTTGTGCATAATTCAGTGGCATTAAATACAGTTCCGACCATCACTGCGATCCATCTCTAGAACTTGCTCATCTTGCAGAGCTGAGACGCTGGCTCACGGCATAGCTCCCTGTCTCTGTCCCCGCAGCCCTGGCAGTGTGCTCTGCCTCCTGTCCCTACGGCGTCACTGACTCTGGGCACCTGGTGTGAGGAGACTTGACCCTTTACGACTGGCATTTTTCACTCGGCATAATGTCCCTATGTTTCCCCTATGTTGTAGCAATGTCAGAATCTCCTTCCTTTTCTAAATATTATGCTAAAATACAACGAAATTTGCCATTTGACCCATTTTTAAGTGTCCAGTTCAGTGACACAGGTACATTCATGTCCTGTGGCTTTACCACGACCCATCCACAGAACTCTCAACTGTTTCTGTTGAGCAAGAGCCTCCCATTGTCACTCCGCACCCAGCTCCATCCTCGAAGGCTGAGTTGTCGATGCACTTTGTGTTCGCAGCTCGCTTGTTTATCCATCCACCCTCCCGTACACACGGGGTCCACCCCCTTGGGCTATTGCATAACGACTGCTCTGAACATGACGTCCCAGTGTCTGTGTGAACCCCACTTTAGTTAATGCTGTCTTTTGGCAGAAAAACATGTTTTTAAAAATTTCAACACATTCACTTTTTTCACGCTTTCCTTTAGGGTCGATGTTTTGGGGTCCTGTGAAACATTCTTTCCGCAATGGACCGCGTTTGCTGTGCTGTCTGCCTGGTTCATGGCTCCCACGGCCCCAGTCACAAGGCTGAACTGCTGGCTCTCAGCCAAGGCTCACCACCAATGCTGCCCAAATCAGGCCTGTCGCTGGCTGGTCCCGCTTGGCAGGAGAGAGTCCCCCGACCTCTCCAGGCCTCCTGTGGCTCTCTGGCTGGATCCAGGAACCCAGCTAATACAAGAGCTGATTAATGAGAGAGCACAGCAGTTTTATTAATTTTACACAGACATGGGGATCTTCGAAAGCCAGCAGTCTGAAGAAATGCTCAGACTGCTGGCATGGCAGCACACGCCTGTAATCCCGGCACTTGGGAGGCTGAAGCAGGAGGATCACTGAACTTCACAAATCCCCACTCCACCCCACTCTACTAAAACCTAACCCCCTAGAAATTGTGCTCATACTCACCAAGATTGAGAACAATGACAACCAACGCTAATACTGCAGAAACTGTACTTGTAGGAAATGAGCTGGGAGTTCCTGGATAGGAGAAGTGGAGGTGTGACCAGATTAGCTCTTCTTAAACCCCGATATAAACGCCTGTCTCCTCCGGGTAATGCTAAAAGGCAGGTTGGGATTGTGTAGGTGTGGGTGTGGACAAAGTTCTGTATTGCCAACAAGCTCCCCATGACCCCCATGAGGCTACGAAGCTGCTGGGAAGGCAGGAGGCAGAGAGAAAAGTGACCAGAAACCTACCTGTTCAGTCCCCAGAAGTCACCTGTGCAGCCTTAGTCCTGCAAATGTCTGTAAGTCTGAGATCACTTGGACCAGCGTTGGTAGGGAAAGGACAAGCAAACTCTAAAACAAGACACACCTGGGTTTGAACCTCAGCTCTGAAAATCATTAGCAGAACTTCCTCCTGCTAAGATTTCTCAGTCTGTAAATGACACAGATATGGCCATTTCCGGTACTGAAAATAAAAATCTCAAAATAAAAAAGTAAATTAAATTACATAAAGGGCTGAGGATGTAGCTCAAAGTGAAGGCCCTGGGCCGGGGATTTAGCTCAATGACTCCGGCGCCTGCCTTGCTACCACAAGGACCTGAGTTTGATCTCTGGTACCAAAAAAAAAAAAAAAATCGCCGAAAAGAAAAGAAAAAAAGAGAATATACTCTTAAGTGAAATAAAAGTCTAAAAATGTTTGTGAAATGCTATTAAAGCAGAATTAGAAAATATTTAGGGTAGTAAAGGTCTATTTTAAAAAAAAAAAAATCTCCAGTCAAAGTGAAGGCCCTGGGTTCAACCTCCAGTACCAGGAAAAAAAAAAAAGAAATCATAGAAGAAAAGATCAATCAATTCAACCTCATTAAAAAGAAAAACCCTTGTGAGAAAACCTATAGTGAAGAAATTATAGAAATTATAACTACATTTAAGGTTTTTTTGTTTTGTTTTGTTTGGGGGGGGTTGGTACTGGAGATCGAACTCAGGACCTTGTGCTTTTGAGGCAGGCACGGCACCACTGAGCTACACATTTAAGTTTTAATAAACTTATTCAAATGTAATATTTGTTAATAATTATCAAAGAATTATTATACAGTGGACCCTTGACTTACAAACTCAATTCATTCCCAAGGGCTGGTTGTAACTCAAGTTGGTCAACTGAAGGCTCAGGCTCCTCTACACAGCCTTCAAAGTCTCTCTCCTGTGTACAGGCAGATCTCAGTGTCCTTAGAGAGACACTGGCCCAGGATTTCTCATTAACCCCACACAGGAAAGGATGCTGTCATGCTCCTTCCAGAACCCTTTAAGGGTTAAATCTGTATCTGAGACCATCTGGAAGCACAAGTGGCTGACATGTGGGTCATAACTCAAGACTTTGTTCAAAAGTTAAAACTAAAATTTCAGTCGTAACCCAAGTTGTTCATATGTCAGGAGGTCATAACTCAAGGGTCCACTGCAAATGAATTAATAAATTAATAAATTAATAAAATAAATTTTAAGTTGAAGTACATTTTTTTGTTGTTTTTTTGGTACTGGGGATCAAACTCAGGACCTCGCGCTTGCAAGGCAGGCACTGGAACCACTGAGCTAAATCCCCAGCCCCAAATTGAAGTACATTTAAAATATTAAAGTATAAAGTACAAACTCAGGAAAATATGTGCAATTCATCTAGCAAAGATGTTAATAAGTGCTGAAATAGAAAAATAGATAAGTGTTGAAATAGAAAAAACTCAATTAAAGAAGGACAAAGATGGTTCATAGGCAGGACCCTTCATATTAGAAAATCTGTCAACATCCCTAATAATAAAAAAAACAAGTGGAACCCGCACTGTGAAACCTTTATTCACCATTTGGTTTAATCAGAACATTTGCAGTGTGTTGACAAATGGGGGTGCACACTCACACATCGCTGATGGAAGGGAGAACCCACACCCATATGGAGAAGGGACCCTGAACACTGGAAAATATCTCCCCAAACTGATATAACCCTGTTTCTAAGAATTTAATTTGTGTGCACTGACATAGGGACTATTTTAACGAACATAGCCATGGGTTGCTTACTGACGACGTGTATTCTGAAAGATGCATTGCTATGCGATGCTGTCACGACGTGAGCATCACTGTACTCACCAAACCAAGCTGCTGCAACATTAACAGTTGAGCCCCATTCCCTTTCCCTCCATTCCCTGGTGACTGCCAAACTGTTTCCCGGACCTGGGGATTTCCCCATTCTGGACATTTCGTAAAAGCTCTGGGGCCATTTGTGGTGTTTGGTGGTGACTCCTTTCCCTTAGCACAATGCCCTCAATATCCATCTGTTTATTGTATGTTGCAAAAGAACCCCCATTGCTAAAGCTGGTGGCACTCTCATGTGGCTAGATCACATTTTTCTTATCCACCCATCAGTTGATGGACATTTCAGTTCTACTTTTTCACTACCGGGAATAACGCTTCATAAACGCACAATTTTGATCCACACCAATTCCAGGATATCCTAATACACAAAGGAAGAACTGATAGCCTCCCCTGCCAGGATGAGCACCTGTATACATTTAAACACATTTCAAACAGTCTGGTCCAACTAGGAAAAGAGTCAAAACCTTGTTTAAATCCAATCTTTTCTGGCCAGGCCTGGTGGCTCACACCTGGAATCCCAGCCCACCTGAGGCTGAGGCGGGAGCATCACTGTGAGTTCAAGGCCAGCCTGGGCCTAATGAGACATTATCTCTAGAAAAAAAAAATTGAACTTTCCTGTTGCACGTACTCTTTACCCATCCCCTTTGATGATTGCCTATCTTTTCCTTTCTTCTTTTTATGTATTATTTATCTGTTTATGGTGGTGCTGGGGATTGAACCCAGGGCTGGGGAATGCTAGGCACATGCTACACCCCAGACTTTTCCCTTTCATCAGCCACTACCCCCAGACACCATTTCTCACCTCCACATTCCAGGCCTTCTCTCTTCTACGTCCACCGTGATGTCTTCTGTTCTTCCTTTACGTTGCATATTTTCAGTCCCTCATTTCCCAAGATGCATATTCATCACTGCCAAATTAACGCACCTGGAAAAAATTAAAAAGCAGGCACACCCAAGCTCTACTTGAATAGTCTTTTTTGCCATTAGCTCTTTGCCTGCAAGACAAGGGGTTTGTTGCAACTGGCCCTAACCCCCATCATGGGCAAATATGAAGCTGAGGTATTTTCCAGTCCAGGTTCAGAAGGGGTTGTTTTAAACAGATTAGGCTTGGCAGCAACTGGAAAATGTTTAGGTCCAGACATGATCTGGACAAGCAGAGAGGTCTGGAGAATCCACTGGCACTGTGCACAAATGAGGCAGGAGATTAGGGTGTGGCTAGCTGGCTAGGCAAGTGGGAAGGAGCTGTCAATCACAGAGTCCCACAATGCATGCACAGAAAACAGTTGCCAAGCCCTGCCCCTGGGACCAATCAGAAAGTGCTATCTTCAATTCTCCTGGCACAAAATCAACCAGCTTTTTGAGAAGACAACTTAGGTCTGAGGTCAGGATGGGGAGCACAAAAGACAGCTGCCATCAACTTCCTGGGCGCTGTCTCTCCCTTTCACAGTGGTCTGTTCTCCCGCTCCAGAGCATATTTCTTTTCCTACCTTTAATAAGTATGAAACCCTGCCACCTTTTTGAACCAATTCTTTTTTTTTTTTTTTTGGTACCAGGGATGGAACTCCGGACCTTTTTCTTGGGAGGCAGGCAGTGGCGGAACCACTGAGCTAAATCCCTGGCCCTTGAACCAATTCTTTGTTCAGGACAAGAACCTGGAAGGAATCTCTAGAATTACCCCACAGCACCCCAGGACCCCACCAACAGGTGCACGCACCTGGACACACACATACAGTGCCCTCCAAGATGTCTGCGTGCAGGGAGTCCGGTAAGAACCCAGAATCCCACCCACCGAGTCTCCTTTACCACAGTGGCTTCCTGAGGCGCCAAGGGTAAAGCTGCCCACCAGTTTTGACCAGAAGCCAGTGCTATTCTGCTATAGCCTGAATGCACTTGTCTGAATTTTAACTCATACACAGCATTGCTTTCACTCTCCACAATGCTCTCTACCGGGACAGATTCACAAACCCTTTTTTTATCTTTTCCTTGATGTCCCCAGCTGGGGACAGCAGTGTCGGCTCAGCCCTGAGCTACTGCACTGCCTCCTTGCCCTGGTCCTGTTCGGCCATGCATCCTCCACAGGATAGAGCTTGAGTGTCCTCCCACACTGCCCGAGTCCCCTTCACCCTTCGTGTCTCCCTGGACCTGGCAGGATGAAGCCCGGCCCGCAGCCGGGTTCATGGTCTGGCGGACCTGCCACGTGGGGCTTCCCATGTTCTGTCTGCCACACCTGGCTCTAACCTGGCAAGGCGACCGGCTGTCCCTGCACACCCCAGGCTCCCGGCGCTCTGTCTAGAAAGCTCTGTCCTCATTCAACAGAGACCGTCGCTGTGACACAGCTGGCGAAGGCGGCAGACCCGGGGTCAGGCAGTGCTCACCCAGTGGTCCCGCGGGTATGGGCCAGGGACAACAAACCGGTGTTGGGGGCACGCAGGGAAAACTAAGGCCAGCCACACCTGCACCTGCAGCGCGCCTCCTAACTAACAGCTGTTAGCCAGCAAGAGTGAGAAGGAGAGCGAGCAGGGGCCCCGGCCGGTCCAGCAGCCTCCTCAGAGTCGTGGGTCAGCCAGCGGCAGGCGGCCACGCCCAGACCAAGCCTTCCTGATGCACATTTCACTGGCAGGAGACCCGCTGACTGGCTCAGTCTGTTTGCTGAGTCTCCGAAGCTTGCATGTTCCGTCCTGCTCCCGGCTGGGCCCCGTCCCGTGGGCAGGGCACAGTTTTGCAGGTACTGCTTTGTACAGAGTGGCCGTCCATAAAAATATCTGCTGAGTGAATAAGGGAATGAATGCGCTCGGAGCACCTCGTCATCTGGCCAAATACAGGCCCATAGCCCAGGGGAAATGAGTCCCACTCCCAGGAGCGCTGGGTAGATGAAGCCAGTGGTCTACGAGGAGTCCCGAGCTCTTCCACTGAGAAACACGGGATCGAGCAGGCTGGCCAGGGCGGGGAGCTCACGGAATACATTTCACCTGGCCATGGGGGCCTCCAGGAACCTTTCATATAAGCACGGGGCTTCCCTTAAACTCAAAATACAAACAGCAGAGCACATAGAATGAAAGCAGAACGCTTATTTTCCTCTTTAAACATCTACATGTTTTTGCAGGATTTAAAATGATCCATGAGCATTGGGCGTGTGCCACAAAAATCAGGAGAAAAATCAGAAGAAATAGATAGGTAAGGCAGAGCTGAGCCGGGCTGCACCTGGAGGGCGAGGCGCCTGATCGAGAGGCTGCCTGGCTCGTCCGGGTCCCTGGGACACCAAAGCTTCGCACTCAGCAATTACTCCTGCCAGCCACACCCAGCCCCAGCACCCTCTCGCTATTGTCTCTGGGAGAAAATGCTGCTGGGCCACTGAAGAGATCTGCAAGGAGATCAAAAATAATTGAGGGCGACACAGTCGTGCCCTCCGCCCCTTCCCCTCCGGGGCTGCAGCTCCTGCTCCCAGGACGTGGGGTGCAGGGTTGGCCGCCTGTGGGGCAGCCTGGGGCTGTCGGACCACACCCCGCTCCCCAGGCTGTCCTCGCCTGGTTCTTCCTCTCTCCCAGCTCTCCTGGTGCGGCTCTTCTACCTCCACCGTCTCGCTGGGTGTCCTTCCTTCCGCCAGTCCCAGTCCCAGTGCCAGTCCCAGCGCCAGGGCGGCCCCCCCTTCTGGCTTTACTCCTTTGTGCCCAGCGGTGACCCTCAAATCCTCACACTGCCTGTCACGGCCGGGACATGGAATGCCCAAGGTGCTCCCTCCTTCGTCTTCCCTCCCCATCCTCTGCTCCCTTGGCATCTTGGCTGGTGCTGCCGTCTGCCCCGAGCCCCAGCAGGAAACCCGGCATCCACTCTCTTCCCACAGCCGCTGGAGTCTCATCCTTTCCTTTCTGGAGCAGTGGTTTCTACTCCAGGTTAACACACCTGGGAACTTTAAATAAAGTTTTAAAACACACCTGGGGTTAGAGCCTGGTGGTAGAGCCCCGCCACCGCAGAAACAAACCAAAACACAACTGAAAATGGAGATTCCAAGAGCCAAAGGGCTGTCAGTAAATTCAGGAATCCTATGGAGGTAACCCCACCTCGGACCTGGTTTTGAAAATCACTTTCCTGAAAACCCACCTTCAAGTTCATTTGAAGGAACTTGGCTATAACCTGTCTCCTCTTTGGCCTACGCGAGTGGTTTAGTTCCTCATAGGTCCATCTTTCTCCGCAGAAGAGAGTCTCTCCTCCGGAGACCTCTCCAACTGAAGGCTTCCTCTAATACCCACAGGTAGTCAGTTCCAGCCTCTGTAGCTTGGAGTTGAGAATCACGTTCTAGCCAGGCATGGTGGCGCACTCCTGTAAGCCCAGCACTGAGGAAGCTGAGGCGGGAGGATCTGTTAGTCTGAGGCCAGCCTGGGCTACATAGTAAAACCCTGTCTCAACAAAACAAACAAAAAAATTGGAATGGGTGAGCCATCAGTGTGATAACTTCAAATCCAAATGGTTTTCCAAAGTTCCTGGTCCAATATCTCTGTGTTTATGTGCAGAAGAAATTTTGTAACTTTGCCAAGAACTGAGATTTTGAGTGCTTGGAACCTCAAATGATATGTTAGTTTTGTTTCCGGATATCCAATTTCAGCAACATTTACTGCCCCCCGTAGCAGGTAAGTGGCAGTCCCCATACTCAAAGTCTAGTAAGCAGCCTAAACTGTGTTTAACAAGGAACATCTTCGAAGAGTGCATCATTTATTCTGAGAACCAAACACTGAACTCAGACTTCTGAACAGGAAGAACATCTTGAGAGTGATTTGAGAATCAGTAGAAAGTCAAGGATGTTAGATCCCAAAGTGCTGAGTTTGAATACTTGTAGTCACATAACTGAGAAAATCAGGAAACTTCTGGGGCTCAGAGCATTTCCCATGCAATGATCGGTCACAGGCACTGCAGATGCAAGGGATACAAAGGCGAGACGAAAAGAAAAAGTGTCGCTGCCGTGACGCTGCCGTGACGCTGCCGGCCCCAGTGCTGGCACTTGATGCTGTGTCCTCGTGCATAGCCTGTTAACTCCTCTGGGGCTCTGCTCCACCCTCTGGGCTTGTGATCTTTGGGTGGGACGCTCTCTGAATGGTCCCTGTCTGTGTGTCTGCTTTCCATGACCGTAACAAAGTACCGGAGAAGATCAGTTTAATAAAGGAAGACGTGTATTACAGCTCACGGCTTCAGAGATTTCGGTCAGGGATTATTGCTTGGGCCTGTGGGAGCACAGCGAATCATGGCAGGAAGCAGAGAGAGAGAGAGACAGGGAGGGCCAGGGTCCCCATAGCCCCTTTCGAGGCCACGCCCCCAGTGACCTCACTCCTCCCAGCGGCCCCGCCCCTGAAGGTCCCCCCACCTCCCAGTAGTGCCAAGTTGGGGACTGACACAGAGGTCTTTTGTAAACGGTTCCTTTGTGTGACACAGCCAGGCGGATGCAAGGACCCTCTCCTCCTAAAGTCTCAAGTTCGTCCAGGGCACATCCTCGCCTGGGCAGCTTGTACTTCAGGGGATGTGGCTCAACTCTCGATCCAGGGAGAACCAGGCCAGTGACCCCGGTGCAGAACGATTCCCATGGAAACGGGCCAGGAAGTTCTGATGCTGCATCTGGGCAGATAAAAGAAAGCCAGCGTCCTGTGTTTCCTACCTCGGGCATTGTCCCAAGGATGGGACACCTGGTTGGTTCGCATGTTGAAACATTTCTGGGCTGCTCCGTTCAGGGCTGCTGTCCTGGGCCCCCTGAGCACCTTTTTCCTGACCCCAGAGATCTCTGGACCTCTCCTCATCCCACTGCCCCAAAGGCAATTGCTGAGCACAGTGGGGCCTGCAGCCCTATTCCATCCGGTCAGAGTGGTCAGCTCCATGCTGAAACAATTGTTTTTTTGAGATAGCATCTCACTATATACTCCAGGCTGGCCTTGAACTCACCATGGAGCCTCAGCTGACCTCAAACTCGCAGTGATCCTCCTGACTCAGACTCTTGGGTGCTAGAATTACAAGCATGAGCCACCACGACCAGCTTGAAACAATGTTAAGATTTTTTTAAAAAGTGATTTCTGCTCTTACTGTTTAAACTCCATGAGATAAGGTTAACTTTTTCACAACCAAAAGCATGCAGACCAGGGCCCTTCCCAGCCTCTCTATGAGCCACCTTGGCCAAGGAGCTCAGCTTTTCCCTTCCTCATCCCCAACCAATGTCTCCATGCCTCAGTCTAGCTCCTGCCCTTCCGGTTCCCAGCCCCAAGCCACACAGTCCGCTTCCTTCTCCACCATCTACGGTACGCATCACCTATGCAGCAACATTTACCCCTCCAAGCCCTGTGTTACCCCTGCCCAAACTGTTGTGAATGTGTGCATGTGTCTTGTTCTGTAAGAAAACAGCAACATTAGGAACAGAAGCAGGGAGTGGTGCGACACACCTGTAATCCCAGCACTGGGGAGGCTGAGGCAGGAGGATCACCGTTTGAGGCCAGCCTGGGCTGCATAGTGCATCCAAAGCCAGACCGAACTACGTAGCAAGACCCTGTCTCAAAAGACAACCCCCCCCCCAAAAAAAACAAACCCAAACAAACAAAAAGAATTAGAGACATTAATGCAGGTTCAGCATCCCTTATTCAAAATGGATGGGACCAGAAATGTTTCCAATTTCCGAGTTTTTCGGATTTTGGACTATTTGTATAAACACTGCTGGTTGAGCATTCCCAGTGGTGGTCATGTTGGTGCTCAAAAAGTATCAGATTTTGGATTTTGGACCAGGGGTGCTTAACTTGTACCTGTTTTATCCCCAAAGTAATTTGCTAACTTGTTACTTTGCAGCCCAAACCTTCCTGCCAAAGGAAGATTCTTTTTCTGTTCTGCAGCCCTGGGGCCTGGCCCCTGCTGCCTTTACTCTGCCCATGAGCCACACCCAAGTGGCCTCCCACTCAGTCACCACAAAAGGCATTTATTTCCCATTTCTTTCTTTAGCTTAACAAAAATGTGAATTTTCCATTTCATTGATTTTTAAAATTTTTTGAATGTTTTATTTATTTGTTTTTCCAGTACCAGGGATTGAACTTGCATTTTCGAGGCAGGTGCTGAGCTAAATCCCCAGCCCTTTTTGAAGGTTGTTAACTACCATGGAGTAGCATGGATGCTGGGGAAGCCACAGCTTGCATTTCACTGGTGGTTTCCTCGGGCCTCTGCAACTGTCACAACGGCATCTGACATTTTGTTGCCGGCAAGGACAGAGTGGAAGGGCTGTCGTCATTCAGAGTTAGGCTGTTAATGGCAGTTGGGGTTAAATGAGATATAACAGCAGGTAAGGCATAAAGTGAATGGCTTTTGTTTTGAGTTTGGGTTTTTAGTTTTTGAGACAGTCTTGCTGTATACTTCAGGCTGGCTTTGAACTCACCACACAGCCCAGCAGGGCCTCAGGCTCATGCAGCTGCAGGGTGCCTCAGCCGCCTGTGTGCCAGTATGGCAGGCATGTGCCATCGCACCTGGCCACAGGGGATGTTTAAAAATGAGTGTTATTGTTTGCATTTGGCTCCTGAAGGTGCCATTCTGAGCTGAATGAAGGGGGGCTGAAGGGTGCCCTTTAGCCTCAGGAAGTGAGTGCTGGGGGACAGAGTTTCTCCCCCCATGGAGCTGGAACCCCTGTCTCCCCGCAGGCTGGTTCCCATGGATGCAGGGGGCAGCGGGCTGTACCCACCTGTGGAGAACTTTCAGATGGGTTCCATTGAACAATGCCATCCCCAAAAAGGTGAAAGCTGCGCAGAGAAGGGTGGCAGAGTTGGAGCAAAACCCACAGCCTCCCAGCCATGGGTGAAGCCATCTGCGCCTGCACCGTGCCCGGCAGGAGAGAA